TATATATATATATATGTTTTTTACATAAATACGCATAATTATAAATATAAAATATAAGTATAAGTATAAATATAAATATATATTAAATATAAATATAAATATAAATATATATATATATATACATACATGTATAAATAAATAAATAAATATGTATATATATATATATGTATATATGTATATATATATATATTCATACATATATATATATAATATGTATATGTATGTATATATATATATATTCATACATATATATATATATAATATGTATATGTATGTATATATATATATATGGATGGGTGGATGTGAGACAGACAGGATGTGGCCGAGCTTGTGCTGTCGGTCTGTCGCCGGGCGCAGGCATCAGGTGGAGACGGCGCTCGTCCTCTTTGCCCTGAAGGCCCGGCTCGGCTCAGCGATGGAGCCCAGGCCCACCCCTAAACCCTAAAACCCTAAACCCCTAAACCCCGAAACCCCGAAGCCCCGAAACCCCGAAACCCTAAACCCTAAACCGTGGCCACGCACGGATTCCCTTTGACGTCAGGTTCTCTTTCCGACGCAGGTGTTCCTCAATCGAGGAAACCATGAGGACCCCAGAGTCGGAAAGCACTGTTGGTAGAGTTATAAGTAAGATATCTATAGTTATAACCCATATTAGGGGACTTATAACCATACTTATAACTACCCATGAACCTCCAAGTAGGAAGGATACGGACAGAGGAGTTTCTCACAACATCAGGTCGTCAAACTGAGGAACACAGGAGAGAATTGGGCGTACACACTGTCTCCGCAGCTGCTAGTGGGCAGAAGAGTGGGATTTGTTTCTGTGGTTGTGCACACATCTGATCATCTGCTTGTGATTTCTGGCTGAAAGGCTAGTGTGGATCCAGTGCACAGATCAACAGATGTACGCCGGCAGGACTCGACCATGAACGAGAAGTACGGCTTCCAAAAGGCTGCAACTGTGGTTTCCTTCTGGGCGAGAGCGGAAATATATCTGAGATGTATTTAACACGAAACTTCCCGGGTGCGCAGTTTTCTCCCATTAGCAGTGCTCCCAAACACAGCCGCACGCAGGTCATTCTGCAATCTTTCCCCGGCGAAGCTGGACACAGAGTCTATGCCGCCGGTGCCTCATAGCTTTGATGTCTCCTTTTTTTTTTTGTGGGCCCAACTTCGGTTCGCTTTTCGAAATCCCAAGGCCTTCTCCCGGGCCTTTCAGTACCTTCCCTTCGTCAGGGCCCCTGGAGTTCGCTGAAAGTCCGGTGCCCTCGCCGGTGCCCTCTGCTGCCGAGGCCTGCCTTGTGGGAGGCAAGGTCCTGGCCCTGCCAGGGCCCCTTCTCTGCGAGGAGTTTGAAGAGCTTAGGAAGCCTTGCATGTGGCCTAGGCACGGTGGCATTGGCGACGGTAAGTGGCCGGGACCTCGGGTTCAGGGCTGGAGGGCTGGAAATCTGAATGATTCAGGGGTGGCAGCGCTTGAGTGCGGACGTGAAGTGGGCGGCTTTCTCTGGTTCGCCTTGTGGTTGAGTTCTTCTCTGAGGAAGCTCGACGATGTGCGAAAGGTCCAGCGGCCGCTGAACCACAACCAGCTACAGGTCCAAGGGATCTTGGTGGTTCTAGTCCATGCATCGAGTTTGGCAGGCTAGGGTGCGCATGTATCATGTCTGAGCTGAGCCATATACCGGTCCGCCAATTTTGGCTTCAGCCGGCAGCCATAGAGCCAGACTGGCATTCCTGTACTTTCTTGTTCCTGTGAGGGGAGTGACCCCTGTTGGATATTTGGGATGGATGTGGTACACAGTGGGTTTCGAGTCAAACTTCATGTGGAGAGCAACTTTCTTCACGTGCCTGCAGGCGCCGGAGAACCGAGTCCTTTGGAACATACTTTGGTGCAGCGCTCGGTGTTGGTCTGTGCGATGCCAAACTGGCGACACCGAAAACACAAGGAGGCATGAAGCCCCAAAAGAGCCCTGCGGCAAAGGTCGGATCCGATCGAGGACGACTGCGCCGTTTCCAAGGTATTTGGAGTGCCCGAACCTCTTGGGTTGAATGTTTGTGAATCCGAGTGGTGGAGGGATGGGGGTTGGGAATGTTGGGAGTGGTTCGGGTCACACTGAGGCCATGTTCCAAGTGAGCTAATGTCAAGGGTTGGTATTATATAGGTTCAGGGTGCTCTGCTCCGAGGAGGTGCTGCTTCATAGGAGATTCTTGTGCTGCTTTCCGCCCCTTAAGCTACTAGTCTTCGGAGCAGCCGGCTTCGGAGAGATTTATAGCTCACTGCAGCTTCCTGCGCTATGCTTTCCAGATGATAAGCTCAACGAGTTTCCGCATGAACGGAGGTGATTCCTCCAAAGCCCATTCAGGAGGCTCAGCCGAGCAATAAAGGAATTTGCCCGGGTTCCGGTAGCAAGCCCCAGCAGGCTTCTGAGCGGAGGGGCAAGGAATGCAGCTGCACTTGTTGAATCTTTTTGCGATGCTCTTGAGACTTGCAGTTCGAATAGAACCTCAGTTGGGATGGAATCTTGCCAAAGTAAGGCTGCCGCTAAGGCTCTTCCTTGTCAAAGCAACGCAGAAAGCAACGGTGCAGCCTGCCAACAACCATATGTGGAAACCCCCTTTCCCTGTCAAGCCTTGAGGCATGCTTCAGCACGCAGCAAAATCGCTGTTCGCTTCGGCCTGGGCCTTGATGTGCAGTGGCACCACCAGAGCACTAGCATTGCGGAGTCGAGTCGCCGCCACGGTTTCCAGTTGCTGAGGCTGGAATGTCACACAGGACGTTAGTCTGGCTTTGGTTTTCCGGGGTCCCAAAAGATATGTTCGCTGGGCAGTGCAAAACGTCCCTTCTGCTGCTGTCGACACGTAGCAGTAGCCTTTATACGGCGTTTGCATCTCCAGCGCAGCAGCTGCCAACGCTTGCAGGACTTCTGTGTCCGTAACGGTCTCGACCTTGTGGTGCGAAGTCACCAGTGCAGGGCTTACTGTATATTTTCGAAGATTTCACGGTTGGATCAGGTTTCGGGAATTTTATTTTGCTCGCGGCATGATTGCCATCATGATCCTGCGAGTTTGAGCTTAGCGACTTAGCGTCTTGCTACGGTGATCAAGGTCGAAGAAGTGGGGACTCGGTGCAGCTCTGAGATAGTGCCTTCGTGTGATGTACGGTTCATTCGCATGCTGGCTCATCTCTACTGAGCTGGTCTTCCACAACTGTAACAATGGGGGGTTCGCGTCAGCAACCGGAGTTGCCCCACATTGAGATGCGAGCTCCTGAGGGTTCGACGTGATGCACAATGAGTCCCTCGTGCGAGTCTTCTCTGCTCGCGACTACGAGGGCAACCACAATGATGGCCAGAGCCCCATTGCAAAGCCCGTCTGCTGGCAATGACCACTGTAACTTTGTCGCCATGACAGCGTGTTCCTGCGAAGTTTGTGGACCATCGTCGAACGGACGCCTTTCCGACTCTCATCCTCTGCTCCGCCGAGCCCGGTCCCTGTGCCAGGCGCGGTGCTCCAAGTGGAAAATGAAGATGACTCCGGTCATCTCGGCGTTCGGCCACAGGCCCCTGTCACTCGTGTTACTTGCTGCGCCCACGAGCCTGCCTTCCTGTAGGTGCTGCGGTCGTTATCTTCCGCCTAGTGACGGAGCTGCAGAACCTTGAGGGGTCCCGTTGGTGCCCTCGCCAGAGTCTTCACAGTGGCATTGATGAGAGTGTGCAAAGAAGAAAAGGACATTTCCACCCTTGTTCAAGTTTAGAGGTTCTTCAGGCCTTTCAGAAGTTCCCGCCATGCATGGACATCGGTGCAAAGCCGTATTCTGCATGCATTTTGATTTTCCACTTAGGCGGCCCTATTTCACCGCAGAGTGGGCGATGTAGCAACACCAGACCATCGGAGAGAACGGGCATGCTCAAGTGGCGAGACCCTTGACATCGATTCGTGCGGCATTGCAGATCCCCATAATCAGGCTTGGCTAGGCCCGGCTAGGCGCGGTCGCCGCCCACTCTGACACTTCTGGCATCAGCTTGGAGCCTGTGCCATGATTATCGCTGCTGAGCAGCTATCAGAATCTCGAGTGCATTAGGCTTTGCCAGCAGCACGCTGGATGAGCATCCCAATTTTGCGGTGCCATACTGTAGAGGAAGGAAAGCTCCTCTTGGGTAGGTAGCTTTCTTGGGAGTACAGGCGAAGTGAGAAGCCCTTGGCCGACAGTGAGCTTGGTCTTGCTCCGCCGCCTGCGCATCCCGTTGAATCTGAAGCCTGAAGGCCCCTCCCGCACTGGACCAAGTCCTTGTTGAGCCGGGGGGGACTGGGCCACCGCGCTTGAGAGCATTTCCGCCACCCAGCGAGAGGCTAAGGGAGGGCAAGAACCCGCAGCCCGTAAGGGGCCGAATGCTGGGTTTGCGGGAGAAATGCCCGCAAGCAGTTGCCAACATCTGCCCACTGGACCCGGTGGACACGCAAACAAGCGCCGCCGACTCGCTGAGGTGCCATGGTGCGACTGGGTAAACCGTCGTTCATTTCATGTTCTGTTGCAGCCACTCCGGATCAACTTGCTATTTGTACCCAGGTCTCAGGTTCCAGCCCCGTGAGTCTCCAGGCTGGCTCACGCCTCAACGCTTAGTCAGCACCCACCCCCCACCCCCCCCCCCAGCTCAAGCGCAGCGAAGCCCAAGCCTCAAAGCATCTCAAAGCCATGCCTGAGCCGGCCTAAATCGCTGGAGGGCCCAGCCCCGGTTGCCCCCGTTGAAGCTCACCAGGCGGCTCTTCTGCACAGAGGCAAAGCAAGCGGTTTCAAGCAGGGTTCGTGAAACTGTGAAACGCCGGAGGCTCGTGAGGGCATCCAGCCGGGATGACGGACGACATGTTGCTTGGCCCAAGGCTTCTTTCCAGACAAGGAGCTTCACATCTCTGTACCCTGCACAGGCATGCAACAAGCTAAGGAAAGAGGCGCGAGAGCGCGCCAGGAAGAGAGCGGCGGAACGTGAACACAACGCTGCTCGGATGAGGAAGTTCCAGGGAAGAAGCTGAAGCTTGGCACCCCGCTGAGGCCTACATGATGGACCGTGACATGACTGAAGCATACTGAAGCGATCCGGCCTTGTTTCTGATGGCATTTGCTGGGAGAGTCTGAGGCTTCCATGAGCTGGATAGGATCAAGAAGCAGGCCGCCTCTCAGAGTTTCGTCTGCGGCCCTGCAGCCACAGCCGCACAGGCGGAGGATAAGAAGAAGCGCGAACAGGCCGCAGACCCGGTCATGGTGAGCAGACGTGAGCAGTGAGACAGTGTGAGACAGGTTCTGTGACAGCTTCTGTGTCGAACCGTCCAAGGCGGAGCGAGAAGCCGCAGCTGGCTCGCAATGCAAAGGGAAGAGGTTAGAGATGGAAGGCGGAGGAAGGGAAGTTGAAGCGGGTCTTGCTGCCTTGCCGTTTGCGCTGCGCCTGCCGGCTGGGTCACCGAAGGTCACTCCTCGTCTCAGCCGACATGAGATGCAAGCTTCAGACTGTCACAGGAAGCAGAGCTTGTAGGCCGCGCTGCCCCTGAACAGCTTAGGCACTCAAGCGCAAGGTTGCAGAGAAGTTGGCGCAGGAGGCCCGACCTCACAAAATCTTCGTGAGCGGCGACATGCGCGGCAACCTGGAGACTTGGGCGTCAATTAGAGGGGCAGGTATCTGCACTCCCGGTGTTGAAAGGTACCGTAGGATGTGCACATCACATGCTCAAATCGTTTGCGAGCGGTATGTTGTTGTGCTTGCAGTAACTCATGGAATCATGCTGTCTCAGGACAAGCTCTTGTCTACTGTGCAGGCTGGACTGAAGAAATCAGGAGCCTTTCCCTTACCCTAAAACCTAAAACCTAAACCCTAAACCCTGAACCCTAAACCCTAAACCCTGAACCCTAAACCCTGAACCCTAAATAAACTCCAAGCCCCGCAGCTGAGCCCCGCAAGGCGCAGGCGGCGAAGGTTGGTGGTGCTGAGGCTTGAACTGTTGGGACATGCGGCAGCATCTGCAGCCGAGTGTGGGGTTTTAGGGTTTTTGGGTTCTAGGGTCAGTAGATAGCGTGGAGTTTTGTGTACTCATGAAACCTATTTCCAAGTAGAAGCAGAGTTTAGACTTGGACGCTCCCTCCACGTGATTCCTGCAGTGCAGGCGCTCCTCTGCGTGGGCCGCGCGTTGCCGGTCAACGAGGGCTTTGAAGGCCCTGGCAGTGAACTAATTACCGGAGAAGCTAGCTCTTTCTCTCGCATCAACAAAGGTTCCTGCTTTTTGGCAGGCCTCATACCCTACTTGACCGGGGAGAAGCAGGTTCCAATCGAGCGGCTGGTCTGCAAGCTTTGCATGTAACTCCGTCTGTCCGTCGAGCAGCTACAGTCGACTTTGCGACGCTCCTTACAGGACCTTCTTCATCGACGCCTGCCCCGCACTTCTCCAGGCCGCGCCTCAAGGGCGTCTCTCGGCTAAGGGTGTCGAAAGCTTCGAGCATCTTCGAGCTTGTGCTTTCCGAGGAACTCTCTGTCAGAATCTGCATTTCCTCGGTGGCTACGGGGTCAAGACGTGGCCTGGCAGCTCTGTGGCCATTGGAATTGTCAATAGGAACCTGCATGCTTGCATGCTGATGTATGCACGTCCGTACGTCTGCCTGTCCGTCCGTCTGTCCGTTCGTCTGCATGCGTGCATGTAGCTACGTACATTTGCATGTATGTATGCCAGTATGTGCGAACGTTTGTACGTACAGGTATATACCAAATAAATAAATAAATAGATGTATGTATGTATGTATGTATGTATGTATGTATGTATGTATGTATGTATGTATATGTGTGTGCATGCATGTACGCATGTGCACATCTACGTATGTACGTATGTACGTACGTACGATTATGTACGCAAAGGTGTATGTGTGCATGTGCGTATATGTATATATGTATATATATATATATACATATATATACACACATATATATATATATACACACATACACACATGTGTCTGTTTCTATGTATGTCTGTCTGTCCGTCTGTCGGTCGGTCGGTAGGTAGGTAGGTAGGTGGGTATGTAGTATGCAGGTATGTATGATGCAGGGCTGCCACACCCCCCCTCCCCCCCCCCACCCCATGGTATCCCCCCCTCCGCCCCCCTGTGGGGTGGGGCCTGTGGTGGTGCC